GCTGCATTTTTAAATTCTGACAAAATTTGAGGCCTGCGTTGTCATGGCACTAAAAATGAAAAATGATGCAATCTGGACACAAAAAATGGTATAGGGGGAAAGTGCTGGGTTTCTTCAATCTTTCAGAGCGGCCTCTTCCTCTCAGCTGTGCATTAGGAGTTGCTGTCTTCTTCAGTGTAAAAATGAAACCTGGCAGCTGTTGCTCCCTCCCCTTCCCATGTGCGTCTGGGTCGCTGCCTTCTCCCTGAGTTGCTGTCTGGTCCTGAGATTGGGGTCACTAAGAACGTGAGGTCTTGAAAGGGTTTAATATTCTGTGGCCATTTGGAGCTTAAAGAGATAAGCTCTGAGGAGGGGCTACCTGTGAAAAAGAAAAAATGACCCTGATGCACAGATTGTTTTACACACCTGCCCACAAATGCACACACGGTGTTCATGAACAGGCACTGTTCTCGTGCAAACCATTTACAAGGTCTGTTCTCGTGCAGAATATTTACAAGCTCTGTTCTTGTGCAAAACATTTGCAGGCCCTGTTCTTGTGCAGAACATTTTCAAGCCCTGTTCTTATGCAGAACACTTATAGGCCCTGTTCTTGTGCTAAAGATTTATAGAACCCTATTTTTATATGTATTTGCTTTGCCAGAGCCCTGTAAGTGTCCGTAGTGTTCCTTTTTGCACCACCATTTTCTCATAGACAGTAACTCCTCAACTGTTCCGCTCCAAACCTTAAAGGGGATGGATGCAGTCCTAAAAAACAAAAAAACAAAAAAAACCCAAAAGCAGGCCAGAAATTTGGTCTACTGCACTGTTGTGTCCTGAGCCTGCAAGAGGCAGGCTCGGGACGTTGCAAGAGTCCCGGGCATTTGCAGAAGCTGCCCGGGACCAGACTGAGCGGCGCCAGCCTTGTGCGCATGCGCAAGGCGGGAAAAGCCCACCTCATGATTGGTTGAACTTGCCCGGGGATCAGAGGGTATAAATAGAGGCCTGCGTGCCTCTGCTCTGGTT